GGGCCTGGGTTCAATCCCCAGCATCTCCACTACTTTCTTTTTCTAACTCATTTCTACCCGTAGTTCTCTATCAGAAGCTCAACCTTAAAAAACCACAGCTGTGATTATCATAAATAGTACTTTCCCACCCTGAAATCTTTAACATTCCAAATGTACATTTATTGGAAGAGACAGGCAAACAGGAGCAGTTAGCAAAAAAAAAAAAAAAATGACAACAATGTAATTTGATTATTGAAACCACCACAAAAATGAGTGGAATGATCATTTGGGGAGTTTACTAAAGGTTTCCTGGTATTGTGACTGCAGTAAAAGGCCTGTTGATTCATTTCTGGCCATCGGAGTGCAAGTGAGGAAACCATTTCAGGGTCTGAGCCTTTTTGCTGACTATTTCCCTTGTTTTGTGCTGTCAGTAACAGGGTTTTCGGAGGGTGTGTTAGTCATCAAGTACTGCTGTAACAGAAGTACCACAAGTGGATGGCTTTAACTAACAGAAATTTATTCTCTCACAGTCTAGGAGGTTAGAGGTCCAAATTCAGGGCACCATCTCCAGGGAAAGCTTTCTCTGTGTTGGCTCTGGGGGAAGGTCCTTGTCATCAATCTTCCCCTGGTCTAGGAGCTTCTCACTGCGGGGACCCTGGGTCCAAAGGACACGATCCCCTCTCGGCGCTTCTTTCTTGGTGACATGAGGTTCCTCTCCTCTCTGCTTGCTTCTCTCTTTTATATCTCAAAAGAGATTGACTCAAAATACAACCTAATCCTGCAGATTGAGTGCTGTCTCATTAACATGCTTGCCTCTAATCCTACCTCATTAACATCACACCAAAAAGCCAAACCAAACCCATTGCCTTCAGGTCGATTTTGACTCATATGCATGTCAGATCACAAAATGGAGGACAACCACACAATACAAGCAATCATAGCCTAGCCAAGGTGACACACATTTTTGGGAGACACAATTCAATCCATAACAGAGGGAGAAAATTATGAATTAATGAGTTTAGTGCACAAACTGTTTATATTTATACACTATCTGAAACCTGGTATGTTTTATCACTAAAATTAAAAGATGTACTTTTGTTGAAAGAAGGGATCCTGTTGCATTCTATGGGAGCAGTTCTTTGCAGTAATAATGAATTCCTCCCCTCTTTACACCCATTCTCTAATTTGACTTCACCTCATGGTGTGAATCATAAAAACAACAAAGTTTAGATCTGGAAGATTCCTGAGCCCAAAGCCTTCATTTCTGAGTTGACGAAACTGAAATTCACGAAATGACTCACCAGTTAGGTGGTGGCACATTGGTGACAGCCTGTTTCTAACAAGCTTCAGTAAAGGTTATTCCTCTCTAAATGTCAAAGTTTTAAAGGAATAAAACGTTGAGGTGATTTCTAAGGTGATCAGGCCTAATATGAAACTAATCATATGCTTCTCTTTGACTTTGTATCTTGTACGTAACCATTTCTAATAGTTTACCCATAGGGAAAAAAAAAACCACAAGAAGTTGCTGTTGTTAAAGGTTTGTGTTAGGAAATGGAGTTTACTAGAAGAGTTGTTGAATCTTTGAGAAAAAAAAGTTATTTCAACTGTTAAATTTTATTTTACACTTAAAAATAAAAAAGTAAAGCCCAAATAGGTTAAATAACTTTCTATGAACTTTACATAAGGCACTATTTGGCAAATTTGGAGACTGAAACTTAAGTCTGATTTTCTGACTGGTGGGAGATAAAACTGGTTAAAGTTGAAGGAGTTTGTGGCCTGCCACACAATTCAAATGTACCTGTGTAAACAGGAAAAAGATAAAATCTGCTGGGCTTTTTTTTTTTTTTTTTTTTGCAAGTGTTCTACCCTGCATATCCTCTTGACAACCTTTTAGGGTTATATAACTGACGACAAAGCAAGGCAAACCTTTCCCATCTAGCTCTCAGATTTCCCCCTTTCTCTTAGGGGAAAAATTTTGCCAACTGTCGTGTTCTCGGACATTTTTAGGATGCTGAATTAAGTCACCTACAGGGATGAGACCTTCAGGGGATCTGAATCCTTTGGGGGAAAGGAAAAAAGGCAGACAAGTGGGCACCAATCCAACCACTCTGCTCCCCACCCCCACCTCCAGCTGCAGCCAAACACCCAGGCCCTTTGTGAGCTCAGCCCATCACGTGCTCACATCTGCTAGCCAATCCTGCCCTGTTGCTGGGCTTCTGTCACTTTTCCGTTGGTGCCAGCTCTGAAGCGATCTATTCTGGGGCGCCTGCAAAGGACGGATCTGTGGGTGGAAGGAACTGAAAACAGATCCAATGACTAATCCTGCTTCTCGCACATTCTAGCACATTCCACTCTAGGTCAGGGGTTTTAGGTTTTAGGAGCGTGACTTGATGCTTGGCGCCTGAGTCCAAGTGGGACATTCAGACTTTGGGCCTTGCGGGCCCTTCTCAGCAAGTAGAAAAGCAGTTGTAACAACAACAGATCCGCTGTAGAGCAGTGTTTCTCAGTCTCGGCACCATTGACATTTTGGGCTGGATAATTATTTGCTGTGCGAAGCTGTCCCTCTTAGGATGTTTAGCAGCATCCCTGGCCTCTTCCCACTAGATGCTAGTAGCACCCTATACCCCACAACTGTGACAATCAACAATGTCTCTAGACATCGTCAAATGTTCCCTGGGGGACAAAATTGCTCCTGGCTGAGAACTACTTCTCTAGAAAACTACCCACCTCTTTAGGGAGGCCATTGCCCTCTACTGAGCTCCTTCTCCCCAACTTCAGTGTCCTCAAAGAAATGTTTACTTGTTTGCTTCAAAGGTAACCCACTGTTAGACTTAAAGTTAGGGAGTATTTTACAGATTTTTTTTTTTTCTGCTGGAGACAATAAATATCCTCCCAACTAATAGGAATTTTGTTTTCTCTTTGGAGGTAACCCTTGGCCTATTCCTCTCCTCCTCTTCCTTTTCCCTCTCCTCCTTCTCCCTCCCCTGCCTCTGAAATCAGGCATGTTTTTCTCTGTACTTTTTGATTTTGAAGATAACCATGTCACAAAGCTCGTGACTCAGGCTTTAAGCAACAGGAATCACAAGACTTGCAGCAAAGCGGCAGCCGAAAGCAAACAGGGTGTGGTTGAAAGCTAGGCCTGGTCACCTTAGAAAAAATCTGTTTTTTGTTCCTTTAAAAACTTCTTCCTGAAATTTAGGGAGAATAACCTCATAAGAAGCCTCAACTTTTTATTTCTTTAAAGTTTCTTTCCATAAATTGAAAGAGAAATACCTTGACAGAAATCTGTATCGGAAGGCACTGAGGTCTCTAGTTCAACACGGAAATGACATTTCATTCTGTATTATTCATTTTTAATTTCCCAGCAACACATTACTTCATTCTCTTAGAAAAAGCTTAGGGTTACAGAGGTTAAAATCTATTTTGAACAGCACTCAGCTCTTTTGTGTTTTCATAAATACATACATAGGTTACCATAGGAAATATATAGCATTATTTGTTTTAGTTTGGTTCACATTTTAAGTGTGTCTAAAAATAATGTTCATAATTTAAAACAGGAATGTATTCTATTCCTGACAGCAGAAACTTTTTCAGTCAGCTGGCTCTTCTATATTTTTTCTTAAAGATTTTACAGTTAGAAATTAAAATACACACATTTGTAGATGCAGGGGGTACTTCTAGAAGGATCCAGATGGAACAGTAGTCAGATAATTGAGGGGGATGGGAGACTTCACTGTGAACTTCCAAAAATCTGTTTTAAATTCTCACCATGTTAATAATATATTTTAAAACACTTAAAAAAATATGCTGAAGAAGTGCCACAGAGATCATAAAAATAAAGATCTGGGCTGGTGATCCTTTTTCTCCTCGTGTATCAAAATGGAATTTGCCTGTGGAAGCAAATTTCGTATTTGGGTTATTTCAATTGTTTTTCTCAAAAATATACAAGGCTGAGATTCAATTAGTATCTTATATTTTAAAATATTAGTCCTCACGGGGTTGGATTTCTGAGCTGAACTTAACATCAACAGAAGTGAAATTTCTGATACCTCTTGTTTACAATGAAGTACAACCTTTACAAACCCAAGGCCCAGCGAATAAACAGGAAGCTAAAGAACAGCCTAGAAATTTGTATGTGTCAGCTTTGAGTTCCAGCTCAAATAATTTTAAAAAATTGTGTGGGATTTCCTTGCTTTCTCCTACGTCAATCTAGGGACGCCACATTCATTTCTCCACTGGAAAATCGTTTCATTTATGTTTTTGAAGACTTCCTGCTTGTCCTTACGACCACAGGCCGACTTTAGCTGAGGCCTGGATTTAGGCCTTGGCCTTTGTCCCGGCCCAGACTCTGGGCCGCAAATCTGAGATTTGTCCAGTCATTCGCCTTGTCCCGGTGCCAGCTCCATTCGGGGTGGCCACCCCGCCCCCACCACCGCCGACCGCCTCAGCAGGGGGGCTGGGACCCTAGGGGACCCTTGCGACAGGCCTGCAGGGGGGTACAGTGAAACAAAAACATGATCATCATTTCAAACGTGAACCAAAATGAGACCCCTGGTATTCGGGTGGGGGCAGGGTGCGGTAGAAGGGAGGCGGCCCCCGACTCTGAGGCGCTTGGCCCGAACCCGTCGACCGCCGTGGGCTGGTGTCGCCAATGGCGAGGACGGTTGCTGCGGAGGGGAGGGGGCGTCGGGGCTGGGGCCGCGGGCCACGGGGGCCCACCCGCTCCGGACACCCAGATAATACCGCGCCGGGTTTTCGCGCTGCCGCGAGCCGCCCTCACCCGGCACCCGCTCCCTCTCCCCTCCCCCAAGGCGTGACGCATCACGTTCCTGGCACCGCACACACCGAACGCGCTGATCCCTCCGCCAGGCCTCTCAGGACGGCGGCCTGCTACCCGCCCGACCCAGTCCGAAAGCCCCAGTCCTAATAGGAGAACATTTTATGATGGGACTTGGATGAGCTTAGGGTCTAGTTTTCTCTCTAGGTTGCCGAAAGTGCTGGGTAAAATAGTCCCTTCTCGGCGTTTCTGCGGAGGGATCTTTGTGGGGGCGGTGGCCAGCGATGACTATATAAGAAAGCGTCGGCACTGTCGCAGCGAGATTCGTCGAGGCCGGTGTCTGGTTTTGCTGCTGTGTGTTCGCTGCTGCCACCACCACTTGGTGAGTAGGGAGTTGGTACGCCGGCCTGGGGACCTTGGGGTTGTCCGCCTGTGAGGGAGGGGAGGGGGCAGGCATAGCTGCTCGCCGCGGGTGGAGGGCAGCTTGGGCTTTTGGTTTTCTGGGTCCCGCAGCAGGGTGGCCGTGAGGGGGACGAACGCAGCAAGATGGCGGTCGCTTCGAACTAAAAGGGTTGGAGAGACGAAACTGAGCGGAGGGAAGATTGTGAGGAGAAAGAAAGCACCAGAGGGCCACCAGGCCTCAATGGTGGGAGACTGAGGCTCAGAGTGCGTTCGTTTTGTGAGACGGTGTTGGGCAGTGGAATCTGACGTTAACGTTTCAGTTTTGTGGAGTGATTGGGCGTAAAAGCTGAGTTTCCGGTCACAGTGAGAGGGCGCGGTGCCGCGCTCCGCGGTTTCGTACCCACTTGAGAGGGAGCCCTCCCCCAGCGCTGTAACGTGACGTCACCCCTTCTGTTAGCGCACAATCTCGGGTGGGGCCGCCTGCCCGTAAATGTGTGTAGGACGATTTTACCAATCACGGAACCACGCAGGGTTTGGGCCGGGGGTAGACTCTGCTGAGTCAGTAGGGGACATCTGCTGGGGGAAGGCTGCTGAGTTTATATTGGTCGGGTTTCATGCTTTCTTTCATAAGTGGTTTAAGCGTGGATTTTGAGGTAATTTGTTATATTTGTCAGGTCTATCACAGGTTGTATTGTGAAGTTTCTTAGGCGAGTGAATTTTTTTTTTAATTTGAGCCAGTACAAAAATTATTTCTTTAGATTAGGAATGTAATGACGTTTGAATTACCTGCTAAATTTTTTGGTCCTTTGTTTTTTGTTTTTTTTTTCTTCTCAGACAATGCAGATCTTTGTGAAAACCTTAACGGGTAAAACCATCACCCTTGAGGTGGAGCCCAGTGACACCATTGAGAACGTCAAGGCAAAGATCCAAGACAAGGAAGGCATCCCTCCTGACCAGCAGAGGTTGATCTTTGCTGGGAAACA